TTTTATAGCAGCATTTTAAGGAAAGTTTAATTTATCTGTGCCCTAGCCCCCCTGGACCAAGGGAATATATCACCAAGGCTATATTCACAAGAAATTTTCTGTCTACAAAGATATATTCACAGTTTTTTAACTTTTCAGACTGAAATTTTCAAATTCGCAGAAAAATTGCTAAAATAATAAGTATATTGAATACCTGTACACCCTTTACCCAGGTTCACTAATTTTAACTTTTTGCCGCATTTGAGTTACATGTGTGTCTCTCCCTCTGCGTGTGTGTCGGGGGGGGGGCATGTGTACACTTATTTACGTGCATATACATACACCTCTATGTACGACTGCCCTTATTTACTAAATCATTTGAGAGTAAGTTGTAGGCACCGTTGGCCCTTCCTCCCCTCCACATTCTCTAGACGTTCTCCTAGAAACAAGGACATTGTCTTACATAATTGTCCATTGTATCTTATTGTGGAATTACGACATGTAGGAAATTGAACATGGATACTTTTATCAGGTATCCACTCCATATTCAGATTTTGCCAGTTGTCTCAATACTGTCCTTTATGGCCGTTTCTCCCTTGATTCAGGATCCAGTCCAGGATCACACTGTCTTATCTCTTTAGGCTCTTTTAATCCTTGACACCTGTGAAGGGTACAGGTCAGTTGTTAAGTAGGATGCGCCTCCACTTGGGTTTGACAGAGGGTTCCTCTTCCTTAGATTTAGGTCATGCATTTTGACCAGATAACTGATGCTGTATCCTCCACGCATCTTCCTGTAGACTCAGGGAGTCCGTAAAGTGCGCCCTTTACTGGGGATGTCACCTTTGGTTGTTCGGTTAAAGTGCAGTCCGCTCTCTCTGCTATAAGGAATTTTTTTCCCTTTGCAACGTATCAGTAAGTCATATGTGAGATTTGAGTCTGTAAATATCCTGTCCCAACAGCCTTTCACTAAATGGTTCTAGCATCCATGGATAATTCTTACCTGCAGCAGTCACTACTATGATGACTACAGAATGGTGATTTTCTAACTCTGTGTTTTCTGCTGCATTTGTTACCTGACTTTCCTATGTAAGGAAGCGCTTCTCCCCATGTGACAGTATACTCATGGTAACAAAAAATTGCTAGGAATCAGTTTTTCTTAAAGCTCTCAGTCTCCAGTCTATCCAACACTCCTCCCTCTCCCAGCCGGCCCCTGTCTCAGGGCAGAGACAAGTAAATATTCCTTTAAAAACTTCTATGAAGACAAAATGAAAATCAGGTAATTAATACCTAAGAGTCTTTAAGAAGCAGGTAAGTTTGGCACATTGGCCATTCTGTGAGCTAGCTTATATGGCTGACTTACCGAGGGCATCGCCCCTGTCTCCACCCTGCAGCCGTGGCTCTGGGCAGGCTGCTCACCCCTTCCTGCCAACCCCAGAGGAGTGGAGCTCTAGCCTCGTCCTGCAGGGCAAGTGTGGGAGTCAGGTAGGAAACCAGTGGGTCAGACCCTCTGAGGACTCGTGACACTCACCTGCCCCAAGTGTACCAGGCAGTTGGAAGAGAAGTCTGTCCTCCATGGCAGAGACGACATTCTGTTGAACGGGAGCCCCTAAGCACCCAGCATAGGGCGGCAAATACTTGAGGGCATACCACTTTTCTCCATTTTCACACCCATGGCAGGCGTAGTAATTAATACAGAACTTTTCCCACCAGACCAGAATTCAGTGTTCTGGACAGTTGCCACCTACCAGTTGCTATAGATAGAATGATTTGCACTCACACCCCTGACTTGATCCCCTTGGCCTTGGTTTCCTAGCAGGGCTCCAGGGGACAGGCAGGCAGGAGACTGACCACTGCTTTATGTCCACAGAGTGGACCCGGGCTGCATGAGCCCAGATGTGAAGAATTCCATCCACGTCGGAGATCGGATCCTGGAAATCAATGGCACGCCCATCCGGAACGTGCCCTTGGACGAGGTACGGGTCCTGGGTCTGGTGAGCAGGATTGGAGGTAATGCCTTCGTGCCTGCCCCTACCACCTGGGACTCACCTGTCTACACACCTGCTCTCCCCAGATTGATCTGCTGATCCAGGAAACCAGCCGCCTGCTCCAGCTGACTCTTGAGCATGACCCCCACGACACACTGGGCCATGGGCTGGGGCCTGAGCTCAGCCCCCTGGGCTCGCCGGCTCACACTCCCAGTGGGGAGGCAGGTAGCTCCGGCCGGCAGAAGCCTGTTCTGTAAGTCAGCCCTGCACCTTGATGTACTTTCACAGCCGCGGGGCCTCGGCGGGGATGGGACCTGGTCCCCACCCTCTGGTAGCTCACAGTCTGATGGAGTCAACCCTGCAAAAGGAAAAACAGACCAGCAAGGGGTGCAGGGGGCTGTGAAAGAGGAGGAAGAATGAGAAAGAGTAAACGGGAAGAAGCAGCGCCCTGAGCTGGGGATGGTGGCGCCTCTAGGGTGGACCAGCACCCTGGCTTCAAGGAGCAGCTGAGTAGCTCAGGAGGGTGGGGCATCAGGTGTGTTGAGGGGGGCAGGCTCTGAGGTGGGGGTGTTTGGACTTTGCCCATCCTGGGGCCCTACTGAAGGGTGTTGCAGCACAGTGATGTTTTTCACAGAGACCACTCTGGTCCCTGTGCTGCAGGGTGCCCAGGACCAGAGACAGCCAGAGGGCTGCTGTGGTGGGCCAGGCGGGTGGTGCCAAGGGCCCTGTGCCCTCTTGAGGGGAGGCGGGGGGCACGAGGAGGAAGTCCAGAAGCAGCCTGGTCCTCACTCCTCTTACTCTGAGGCCTGTTCAGGACTCCTGGTCAAGTGGGGGACAGAGGCACGTGCTTCCTCCTCCCCTGCATTTGTCTGGAGTTCAGGCCCCCTTGCACAGCCACCTGTGTGGCAGTTGTGAGCGTCCTGGGCAGGCAGGTGGTCTGCCACTGCACCCCAAGGCTTGGGACTCAGATACTGGGAGACAAAGCATCTGATCCAGGGTCACTAGGCAGAGAAGGCCAGGGACAAACATTCCTACCTAGGGCACCTGCAGGATGCCAGGCCTCAAACAGGAAGTCCAAGTGGGACAGGCCAGTGGGTGCTGGTGTCAGGAGGGGGTGAGAGGCTTATGACTGCCCAGGACAGCTGCCCCGTGCCACCCTTTCTGATTGTATGGATGGGTGTATGTAGACTGTCACCGATGGGTCATGGCAGATGGGGGAAGGGGGCAGGGTCAAGGCCTAGCTTCCCCTGAGGAGGCCCTGACCAGGTGTCCGACTGCCCGCGGTGGCACTGGTTGCTGGGTGTGTCTCCCCAGGAGGAGCTACAGCATCGACAGGTCTCCAGGCGCCAGCTCACTGGGCTCCCCGGCCTCCCAGCACAAGGACCTGGGTCGCTCCGAATCCCTCCGTGTGGTCTGCCGGCCGCACCGCATCTTCCGGCCTTCAGACCTCATCCACGGGGAGGTGCTGGGCAAGGGCTGCTTTGGCCAGGCCATCAAGGTACGGGGCACACCCAGGCAGGGACGGGGCTGAGGGGGAGCCGGGGGCAGTCTGGGTGTGACCCATACCTCCTACCACCAGTGCCTCCAGGAAGCCACAGTGGAAGGGTATCTGGCTGCCACACTCCCTGGCCACAGCTCTCCTCCACCTGGGCCTCCTTGAGCTAGTAGCAGTCGGGGAGGGGACCTACTGCAGATAGACCCTGTGGTGGAGGTTGTTGGAAAGTGGCTGCTTGGGGCAGGGGATGGGAGGGCAGCCCACACTGACCCTGAAGGCCCCTCCCCAGGGGCGTCCTGCCGAGGCTGATGTCCACCCACTCAGGGACTTGGGCTGCTCACCCCCTTCACACTCTCCCCGAGCAAGACATGAGCCCTTTTCTGGCTCTAATGTCATCTGGCTGTGACCAGGCTGAAAGGTTCAGAATTATATAAAAGGTACCAGCCAGGCTGCCCGCTTATCCAGACAGGCCCCACCCTCCAGCTTCTGTCCCTGGTCAGAATCTCTGGTAGAGCTGCCATTTGACCTCCAGGAGACAGCCCAGCAGAGAAAAGAGAGCTGGCCTCTGGGAAAGGTGGTCCTGGACCCTAACGCCAGCCACTCCGCTTCCCTGCCACCTGGGTGACCGTGGGCCTTGGAAGGAAACCTCCCTGAGCCTGTAAAGGATTTAAATCCTATCCCCTTGGGGGCTGGGAGCACCCCATGAAAAGTCTACAGAGGCTTGAAGCCATCTGTCCATCTGCCTGGGATTGGGGGAGACTTCTGCAGGGCCAGCCTAGAGCAGAGCCCGCCTAGAGCAGAGCCCCTGTCGGTGCTGAGTCTCCTTGCCTCGGTGTCCCCATGCAGGTGACGCACCGGGAGACAGGCGAGGTGATGGTGATGAAGGAGCTGATCCGCTTTGACGAGGAGACCCAGCGGACGTTCCTCAAAGAGGTGGGTGAGGGGCCTGCTGCACCCTCTGCACCAGATTCTTAGGACCTACCATGCCTCCCACACCACCACCACCCCCGCCCATTGACAGGGTGGGTGGCAAAGGGCTCTGGGAGGATGTGACACTCTAGCCACACGTTGAAGAAGAGAAAGTATCTGCCAGGAGGGCGAGAGGAGCAAGGATGTCCCTGGGAGTGGGAGCAGCCCCAGCAAAGAGCACAGCAGCCCGTGTTGTGGCAGGAGCCCCCGGGGGCGTGGAGGCTCCCCCATCTCTGGGACTGTCTGCAGTGGCCTCTGATGGGACAGCAGAGGGAGAAGGAGACATGGGCCCAGCCTGTTTGCTCCCCGCCAGGTGAAGGTCATGCGATGCCTGGAGCACCCCAACGTGCTCAAGTTCATCGGGGTGCTCTACAAGGACAAGAGGCTCAACTTCATCACTGAGTACATCAAGGGTGGCACGCTGCGGGGCATCATCAAGAGCATGGTGAGTTGTGAGCAGTGCCCCACCCCGCCGCTCCTGGTGGCACCCCGCTGGGTCCCAGTCTCCTCGGGTTCTTCACTGGGGAGCAGCTGCTGGCATCTCAGAGACCCTCCAAACCCTGATTCTGAATCAAAATAGAGGATCAGCTGACTGCGTGTAGAGCTCAGGGAAGCTGGGGCCCAGAGAAGGGTGGCAGCTTGGCCGAGGGGATGCACAGGCTGTTCCGGGGTAGCCGTCCTGCAGGGCCCCGTGCAGCTGCCACAGGTCGGTACACCTGAGAGGTACTTTCCGTTACCTCTCCGCAGAGTGGCCTTTATTTTGCTTCTGGCAAAACCAAGTCATTTTTTGCTGTTTGCCATAGTCTGTCAAATTCAGAATTTGCTTTAAGGGCTTGGATGAAATTACAATACCTCCTTTAGAAATAAAGCATTTAGAGGGGAGTTCCCAGCCCTCCTGGGCCGCCGATGGTGCCTCGGGGATGCAGTGCTCTCCCCACCCCAGCATCACCCTCAGACTAGGAGACCGTGTTCGCATCCCGCGCCGCCAAGTCCTCACTCCACCTGGCTGGATTACCTGCTGGATCACCAAAGTGTGGTCCTGCCGGCCCCTAACAGGTGTAACTTCCCAAGGGATTCTGCAGTCCAGAACAGTTTGGAAACCCTGGGCTACACCAGCGCAGGCTTGCTGGCTATACCCTGAATCTTGAATGCATTCTGACGTCCTCAAGTTCCCACTTGAGATCTCCGGGGGATGCAGGGAGAGAATGAGGTGTTTCCTCAAATGACTTGAGCCCAAAGCTCTGCTCTGCAGAGTGACTCAAGGCTGGTTCTCTGGAGGCAACCTCGCCAGCCCATCCCTCTCTGCCTGTCCGTGAAAGTAGGTTCAAATTTTTTAAAACTTGAAAGAATGGGATTTTGTGGAAGCTACATAGAGCTTTTGTTCTCAGGAGGCGGATCAGGACTATAGAAGAGCATCCCCTCTCCCTTACTGTTTGGAACCAGTTCTATTAGAAAATTGTTTCCAGTTATTCACTCACACCCCTTGGAAGAAACAGTTGAAACAGTTGTGGGTGCAGAAGAAAGTTGTGGGGGTAGTCATCAGACCCTCTAGGGCACTCGACCCCTCCTGCCGTCTCACACCTAATGTCCCACTGCCGTGGCCTGGTCGGCCCATCCTGGCCATTCTCCCCGCCCCCAGGACAGCCAGTACCCGTGGAGTCAGAGGGTGAGCTTTGCCAAGGACATTGCCTCGGGGATGGTGAGTAGGCTCTGGCTTCGGTGGGTGTGGGCTGGGTGATCTGACCCCACCTGTAAAAATGTTCTCTACCGCTCACCTAAATTCCACAAGGAATTTAGAAATGGAATACACAAGGGAGCTTTGAGAGAGGACAGAAGGGGATCCCGTGGGAGAGGGGAAGCTGGGAACTTCAGGGGGACCAGGGTGGGGCTGGGGTCCCTCAGCATGGCTGCGCCCTGACCTCTGTGCCCCCCACCCCCAGGCCTACCTCCACTCCATGAACATCATCCACCGTGACCTCAACTCCCACAACTGCCTGGTTCGTGAGGTGAGCATCCTGGGCTGGGAGGGGCCAGCAGGAGCCCCGCCCACTGCACTCCTAGACTTACAGGCTCAGGGCATCTGCTGTGAATTTGGCAGTCACAGAGAACGGCCCACAGCAGGGCGGCCACAGCCTACACCAGGCTGTACCAGCGGCTGTGGGCCTGGAGGACGGCCTGTGCATGTGGGTGGGGTGGTCAGGGCAGACTTCCTGAAAGAGGCTTTGTGGGGATATACTGAAGTCGGGGGCAGTAGTGCAGGGAGCCCGGGGTCTATGGGGCAGGGACTGAGGGACCACAAGCTGTCCCCTGAAGGCAGAGAAGGGAGTGACTGATGGTGCCCAACTGGAGAGGTGGGTCCTCGCCTCCTGGAGCTGCCACAGACTGCCACACACTGCCACACATAGCATGGCTTAAACAATAGAAGTGTATTCTCGGACTCCAGGAGGCTGAAAGTTCAAAATCAAGCTGCTGCCAGGGTTGGTTCCTTCTAGAGGCTCTGAGGGAGAATCTGTCCCCAGCCTGTCTCCTGATCTCTGGCAGCCGCTGGCACTACTTGGTGTTCCTTGGCTTGTAGCCGCCCCACTCTGGTCCTCGCCTGTTTTCTCATGGCATTCTTCCTGTGTGTGTCTGTGTTCTCTTCTGATAAGGACACCAGTCATTGGATTTCAGGTTTATCAAATCCAGTATAACCTCATTTTAACTAATTATATCTGCAAAGACCCTGTTTCCAAATACAGTCACATTGACTTTTCAGGTGGACATGAGTTTTCAGGGGGACACTATTCATCACACTCCAGGCAGGCTGAGATCCAGTCTTGGAGGAGGCCATTCAGGAAGCATTGAGTCACTTATTATGGAGTGGGGTCTCAGCCCCCCGGGAATGTCTGGGGAGCCCTGGGAGCCTCTGGGCTGTGGGAAGTTGCAGGCAGTGAGCAAAGAGATGGTCAGGGCTGGATCCGCGGGCCTCCAGGGAGCTCGCTCGGACTGCCCTATTGGCCACAGGCTCCTCTGTAGGGCAAGGAGAGGGTGGCCGATGGCTGTCTTGATCCTCCTGCAGGGGCCACCTCTTGAGAATCTGATGAGTTATGAACTCTCCTGTCCCCAGAATCCATCTCTGCACAACCTAAACTTTCGCCTACAGTTTGGAGTCTTTGAGAATCCGGTACTTCTTGCTGGCTTCCCTAGAGCTGTTTCCCATAGCAGGATCTGCAGACCCCTGTACCATTAGGCCCCGGGGGACTCGTCAAAAGTGCAGAAACCTGAACACCTTCTGAAAGGGATGGAGCAGGAATCAGCATTTAAACAATCCTGGTGGACCCTGACTTTCAGTAACCACCCCTGAGGGGGCCTGAGGATCCTAGGTCAAGACACCACCACCACCACCACCAACCTGCCACTGGTATTACAGCTGAGGAAATGGAGCCCTGAGCGGGGACTGTGTCACCTGGGGCCCCGTGGAGGTGGACCTGGGACGCATGTTCAGCCGCTCCCCTGGGTGCCATCTTTGTAGCATTTTCTCTAGGGAGCTATCCATGTTTGTGTTGCTCCCAAAAGTGGCACAGGTTCCTTCCCTTCCGAGTGAGCCTGGTCCTGACCCCCACCTGGCTGGGGCCCTGCAGCCTTGTCCTCCCTGTGCCCACCCCTTGGTGTCTGCATGACAGTGGTCAGTCCTGGGGCTGCAGGTAGTGTCCAGACTTGCAGGGCCCCAGACACCGTGTCTAGGAGGCCCAGCCCTGTACCCTGCGGAGGACCTCCCCAGCCGCCTGACTTGGCCCCCTCCCTGATTTTTCCAGCTTTCAGGGTACACATGGCTGTCAGCATCTCCATGCTGCGGGGTTCTGGACCAGCTCCGGGAGGGGCTCCCACAAACTGAAAACACTAGAGCTGACCAGTTGGGTGGCCTTGGGCAGCTATCTTAACCTGTCTGGGCCTGAGCCACCTCACCTGTAAAGCAGGGATAGAATAACTCGTTACCTTACCAGAACCTTGGAGGATTAAGAGAGAACAGTCGTGGGGCCTGGTCCCCAGTTAGAACCGCTGCTTTCCTTCCACAACGAGGCAGCACCAGTGCCCGATGGAGCAGAGGGGGTCCTCGGAGCCCCGGTGTCAGACGTGTTCTCTGGGCGTCTGTGGTTTGGTGCGGGGTCCGGGCCGGGGGCGGGCCGGGCAGGTGGTGCCAGGAGCGTGTCTTAGTGCGGCCCCGCTTCACCTTCACCCCAGAACAAGAACGTGGTGGTGGCCGACTTCGGGCTGGCGCGGCTCATGGTGGACGAGAAGACGCAGCCCGAGGACCTGCGGAGCCTCAAGAAGCCAGACCGCAAAAAGCGGTACACGGTGGTGGGCAACCCCTACTGGATGGCGCCCGAGATGATCAACGGTGAGTCGGCGGCCCCGCCGTCACATCCGGCAGGCGGGGTCCCGGGCAGCGGCCTCCTCTGCCCCTCAGCTTCCCCTTGGAGTCCTGGCTCTTGAGTCCTTTTGCTGCTGCAGCCGATGATCACACTCTGGGCTTAAAATCCACTCAGTATGTGGTTCTAGAGGGCAGGAGTCCAGTGTCAGGCTGAAGTCCGATGTCAGCAGGGTTGCATTCCTTCTGGAAGCTCGAGGAGGGAGGACCTGTTTCCTTGCCTTTTCCAGCTTCTAGAGGCTGCCTCATTCCTTGGCTCCTGGCCCCTTCCTCCCGCACGGCCAGCAGCATGGCCTCTTCTCACTGACATGTGGGGTTCTCATCCTGGCATTCCTGGGCTTATGGCCTCATCGGTCCAGTCTCTGCCTGCATCTTCACGCAGCTGCTTCCTCCTGTGTGTCTTTTCCTTTTTAGTCTCTCTTACAAAGACAGTTGTGATGGCATTTGGGGCCTGCCCAAAAATCTCAGGATTGCCACTTGTCAGGATATTTAACTTAATCCTGTCTTTGAAGGCCCTTTTCCCCATAAAGTTAC